TGAGTACCGCTTACCGCAACCTCTCTATTTACAATTAAAGTCTCAAATTTAGATGGAATTTAAATAGGGGTTGTAACTTAATACAACTAAAAGGATTTAAGAGTGTAAATTAAAATATGAAAATTTGGACACCTAATATCAAGATATAAGGAGTTAGGGTCTAATATGAGAAGAACTCAATAAACAAAACACCAAGGAAATTGCATTTACTTCCAAAAGAGTCTCGAGAGCATCAATAGCACGACCAGACGACCATGAAAACCTCTTCTCAACCTCTTCTACCAGCACATAACCATGGGCCTGCATAACATGGCAAAATCATCAACAATAACAAAGATACAAGTGAAAATACAGGTTGACAAACATAGATACGGCTTACTAATTGAGACAAAAAAATCTCATAAAAGCCTATGGTCATTCAGGTAAGTTAGGTCCGAGCCAATAGAAAAGTTGTAGCTAACATTATAATCTATCATCTCCCTTGCTTTACTAGTTCAAGAAAGGTTGAGAAGAAGGCTGATACGCTGAAGAATGTGGCATTTGACTTACTGGCGATTTATAAAATGGAGAAGCCTGATAGGATTTAGAAGTCAAAGCTACTTGCCTAATATAAATTGGAGAAAGAAAATGTTGACCATGGTTAAAAACCATATTCTGCCTTCATGCTTATTTTTTCTTATATCTTGTTTTTTCCATTCCGGGGTGTAAGCTACTCCAGACAGTCCTTTACTTTCTAAGCAACAGATTGAGATCTAACCTTTTGGGTCCTGTATCACTAGACTTGGATTAAAACCAAATTCTGAAGAATCAGTGATCGCATCATATCAGATTTTAAGCAAATATTAAGCAGATACAAGATAAACCAATCAATACCACCAACATTAGCTTGTAATGAGTAAAATACATACTGATATTGAATAATGATAACTGATCAAAAGGGCACCTGATATATTAAGTAAAAAAATATGATCTTATAGTATTATGTTAGGGAGAAATAATAAATGTCAACAAACATAAAGTTTTTGAATTCTGATTAAACTTTAACTTATATCCAAGATTCTCCCTAGACCTAGAAAGGCTTCTCTTTTGCTTATGCCTTAGATCACTGTCATTGCAAAGAACCCAACAGTTTTATCATAGATTTTAGAAACAAAAGAATGTTAAACCAAAGTTATTCTATAAAAGTTACAACCAATTACCAACCTTAGATACACAAACATGAAAAAGAGAAAAACAATACATAAGAAACTTTGATAATTCCCAAATGGCTGCTTTTATGATAGAAAACAAGTACAAAAAAGTAAGCTAACACAATTGATTTTCTCTTATTAACCTTATATAAAATGAATAAATAGATCTATATGTGACAAGTCTTGCTAAATATATTGCAACAAACCTGGGCCAATTCAAGAATTTCGTTATGGTCTTTATTCAACTCGGTGGGCACTGATCGGACAAGCTTCTTTTTACCAACAGAGATCACTTCAAAACCACTACCCAACACCTGGAATTTCACATAATAAGCATCGAATAACTAAGAGATATATGGAGGCATGTTCGCAGAAACTTAATCGACATAGCGACAAACTTCTCATAAATGACATGTTAACATTGAAGCTTAAAAAGACAACAAGTATAGAAACTCTCTAATTACTGGAACATTAAGTTTTCGTCAAGTTACCTTCAGTTTATTTATTGCACGCAGGCAATCATCTTCAGACACTGATTCTCGAGCAGTTTTTCTCCTCTGACACAGGAGACTGCAAAGCTCCTGCAAGTTGATTAAACCTCCATTATGCGTTAGCAGTTTTTCTCCTCTGACACAGGAGACTGCAAAGCTCCTGCAAGTTGATTAAACCTCCATTATGCGTTCTAGTTACCAAACAAATGTCAACAATCTCTGCAAAGCTCCTGCAAGTTGATTAAACCTCCATTATGCGTTCTAGTTACCAAACAAATGTCAACAATCTGAACACCTGCTCAAAAAAATCAGGTCGTATAATTTAACAACTAATTGGATGTAAGCAAAAAATAACCAGCATCAACCATTAGCAAAGATGCATTCCAATTCACTGGTTTGCATGGTCATATGGCATGATAAAATATAATCACTATAGATGAAGTTGAAGTTCTGATTAGAATTGAACAGGAATTCTTTTTAGGAGAAATGGATATCCTGGCATAATCAGGATTCAAAGCTACAAGTCTACGACTAGCATCATGATCATAAGAAGTGTTACTGCTTAGTATGATGGCACTCACAGTGAACTAGACTATTGAACAAATTGCAAATAGTGAAGAAAAGGTGTAGCAGAATAGCAGATAATAACTAAGACAAATTAGCTGGAGAATTATTTTCATGCTCTATCTGGACAGATTGCATATTCATACAATAAAGAATAAACATATAAGCAACTACTTCTAAAAAATTCAGGTGAAATGTTCAGCAATTAAAGCTACAGCAATTCAAGCTATGGATTTCATTAGAAGTTATGATTTTGATGTGTGGCCTCATTTTAGACTAGAAGCATAGCTTTATCATGCTGAAAGTAATACCCCAGAAAGGCACAAGAAAGTGGAACAGAAACCAAATATAGACCATTGAGACCTGTCAAGGGGTGAACTGGATTGTCCAAGGTATATCCCGTGGAATTAAAATTTTAAAAAATAGCAGCAAGAATAATAATTAAAGAAAAATAGAAATAAAACAGCAGCGGTGACGGCGAGTAATAAAACAAAACTTAGAAGTAAATCAAAAACCTTCATGTGCATTTGCACTCAAAGAGAGACAAATCTATCTGAACTACATCACCATTTACCAATTACAAATTGTCATGCCCATCCAAGACTGTTTTTTACAGCTTCATGATTATTCCCCCAGAACGAGTTATGTAATTAACATAACAGAAATTCACGACAGTTATAAACACCTTTAGGAAAAGAAATAACAGAATCGGTTAACAGAAGTTTAATAATAAAATATTCAAATAGTAATGCACAATTTTACTGATTTCTGAGCATATGGAAAACTGAAAATAATTATTCCTATGCATATTCAGTTTGGACAGAATTTCCCAAGATTTATAGAAGCAAGACCATGAACAATGAACTTGTGATTAAAACTAAGCTCATGATCTAGAAGATTAATCTGATGAGAATTTATAATATAAAGATAGATATGAATACAGACCTAGTTCATAATAGAAATCACCAATCCCCAGTAGCTCAGCCCAAAATCCTTTGTTAGAAGCTAGAGGATCCACTCCAACTTTAGCACACATCTCGTGAAACTGTGATCTGAAAGTAGGGTTTTTACGAATGTCATTCTGCAACAAAATAAACTATTTAATTTAACGTGAAGAAGAAATTTCAACATAATAACGATTAATAGTTAACCACTTGGGCATTCATGTACAGGAAATTGTTGAATAGGATTGAGGTATATGATCGCTATGTTGGGGAAAATATCTACTTCATACAATCATACAAAAGCTGTAAAAAAATTTAAAAATTTTCCCAATTTGGTTTTCCATCATAGCTGGTTCCCTTTTTTTCACCTTCTCTATTTCAATATTTTGTTCCTTTACATATATTTGCACGCTTATTCCCCCTTTTAGATATTTAAGCCAGTTGCGAGAAGTGAGAACTATGCACAAACAATCAAATGCGCAATCAAGAACAATAATCTTCACTAGACAAAAGATGATAGTGTTGGGGTCCCACATTGACTAAATGGTAAATCAATTTTGGGTTTATATTTATAAGGGCTTTGGTTCCCTTTCTCTAATAGAAAAATCTTGGGGATGAATTCTTCTAGGTCTCTGAAGCCTCGCCTTCCCAGTGGCAAAGGGTGGTAATGCCAGTATTATCACTTCTCCCAAGACTATCTAGTGCAAAAACAAAGGGATGACTTGCAATGTTTGACTAAACTAATGCAAATCAATCTTGCATTGGAGCCTGGACTGCAAAAGTGCGGCGGTATGTCACGGTTCATTTGGTCCTACAATGGCTAAATAAGGCGTCAATTATTGATTTAACTAGCAGCTAGCTTTTAGAGGTGAGCCATGACAGGCCTCTTACACAACCAAATGCACAATTAACTAGCAGGAAAAAGACACAATCAAGAACCCTAATATTCATAAGAAAGCAGAGGAAATAAAAAAAATCACCTTGTGTTTTCGAGCAAATTCTTCCAACTGAGATCGAAAAGTAGCAAGCTGTTGATTCATGAGATCTGTTCTGACCTTGGCAACATTTTCTCCAATCAGTCGATATTGATCCTATACATAAACATTAAGACCAAAGAAGCAATCAACAAAATATATAAAATAAAAAAAACCGCAGAAGTTAAACCCTAACCCTAGCTGCAGCCGCATTCTGCAAGCCAGCGATTCCAGGCCGTCTCCTCATGATTCTCTATCGACACCTTCAAAAAGAAGAAATCTTTCAAAAATAACTCAAATTCTAAACCCTAGAACATCTGAAAAGATCGTTAGATGGAAATTCTTACCAGATCTCGGTCTTCGGCGGCGAGAGAGGTTGTGATCTAGGTGGCGATAGGTGACAACGGCGGTGCAGAGATCAAAGTTGGGGTTTTCGGTTCGATCGATGGAAGAAGAAAGAAAATTGAGGGCGGTACAGAGAGAGAAAATGTTTTTTAGCGAAACCCCTGAACTTTCGGATGACTTGTAACAAAACCCTGAAATTTGAAAATTTAGACAAACCCCGTCGAGTTTCATAAGGCACCCTGCACTTTTTGAGTAAGTCCCATCTGCAAAGTATGTGTTAAGGTTTGTGAAGAAGAGGTAAAGAGAAATAGAAAAATTATGAGGGAGTTTATTTTTTACGGTTTTACTTAGATCATGGTGGATAAATGGTCTATCTGAAGTACAACAAAGCAAAAAGCTGAATTATATATGTTTGACAAGTTACCTGTTTTTTTTTACAATCTATCGAAAAATAAGATGAGCTGTCGTAGGTTATTTTTTGGTAAATTGTTCCATAAAAATTGATAAAATAAAAGATAATTTATATCCTCATGATTTTATAAGTTTCAAGTCGCGTTTATTAACTCACCACCGAAACTCTATTAAAACTTCAGTCACATCTTTTTTAGTCAATTAGACAACAACAATGGATTATAATCCACTAATTTGTAAACCGTGTGAAGTTTTCCTCTGGATTATAATTTATTTGGGTTATAATCCACAAGGTTAAAATCCACAAGTGGATTATAAACTAAATGGACTATAATCCAGAATTAAGCATGCTCTTTAAAGGGGAGAGTTATCTTTATTTTTTTTAAAAAGGAACATTATTTCTGTTTGTGAAACTTTTCAAAGGTTTAGGTATCTTTTGTGGCACTCTGCAAAGCTTAAGGGACTTATCTCTAACTTTTAAAGTTTAGAGGAAAGTTATGAAAATAAATGCTCTCCTCCAACCAAATTCTCTGCCTCTTCACAGCAATAGAAAAAGAAAACTATTCCTCTTATTATCATTGGATAAGGTCTAGAATATGCACGCATCTCCCACAAAAATCCCGCAAAACCTCTAAAAATTCCCAAAACTTAAAAAATTAAAAAAAATCAAAATAATAGAGGGGGAAAGGGAATAGCTTGCAGCTCCCATCAAAAGAGAAATGAGCTCCTCCTCCTCCTCTTTGCTTTCTGGGTCTGCTGCCTCCCAAATTTCCTCATTCCCCATCAAACCTCAGCGTCCATCTCCTCTCTCAGCGTTCAGGTATCAACTTTCTATTCCTCATTCTATGCCCATTTCAAGAAAAAAGGGGAAATAGCTCTCTTTTCTGTTATTGAGCTCCAAGTGTTTGATTTATTGCCTTCCTGGGTTTTCTTGAGACAAAAGCCCCAAACGTTTGGTTTTGCTCGTTAGATGCGTGTATAACTTTTCTAAATAAATGCTATTTTATACGAGTTGAGCTGGGCTACTATTAATAATATCCAAAATGCGGATACTATCAATCTGAATTTGGAATTTGGAATTTGGATTTTAAATTTGGAAATTTGTACCCTTGTATGAGATGTAGTACACGTGGGTTACCTAAATGATGTGTCTTGAATTCTAATTATAATAATTGATAATACCCATATTTTGTATTATAATAATTGATAATACCCATATTTTGTATAATATTGATAATATAGTAGCTCAAGCCATTAGATACTATCTATAGTTGAGGAAGGGAAATAATATGATTTTAAAAATAAAATCCAAGTTTTATGTTAATCTTGCACTGATATGGTTTCTGTGCCAAATCCATACATATATAGTGGAAATAAAAAAGATGGAAGAGAAATAAAATGTGTCCTGTAGTTGAAGTGAAAACATTTTAATTATGGGATTATACTCAATTCTGAATATTTTATCTCTTATGCTGTGGAAATAAAAAAGATGGATAATTTCCTCTGGTTCTTTATATATTCTTGGTAAATAGTTGGCTTAGTCCTTATAGTTACCTCGAGACCCAGGTTTGCCTCACCAGACAGGGAAAGAACCAGTTGTAAATAGATAGAATCCGGACT